TGATAGCAGACATTATCTCTGATGTGCTCTGGAGACAGAAATTAGAATTGAGGAGCTGCTCTTTGAAGGATTTGCAGTCAGGGAAGGAGGGTTGGCATCAGCTGCTTCCATCTGAGATAAATCCTGTGATTATTGAGGTATCTTTCATAAAGGAGGGAAGGAAATTTTCTCTGAGCTCGGCAGAGAACTGAAAATTAAGGGTTCCCAGTGCCTGAAGAGAGGGATGGATGGGAGACTGGGAAGGAATTGTACCCTGGGAGGGTGGGGAGGGACTGGGGTGCCCAGAGCAGCTGTGGCTGCCCCTGGATCCCTGGAAGAGAGTTGAGTAAAAATTATAGAAATGCAGAAATACAGCAATGCAGAAATACAGCAATGCAGAAATAAGGAAATAAGGAAATACAGAAATAAATACAGAAATAAATACTGAAATACAGAAATGCAGAAATACAGAAATACAGAAATGCAGAAATATAGAAATACAGAAATGCAGAAATATAGAAATACAGAAATGCAGAAATGCAGAAATAAATACAGAAATACAGAAATGCAGAAATAAATACAGAAATACAGAAATACAGAAAGAAATACAGAAATACAGAAAAACAGAAATATAGAAATACAGAAACGCAGAAATACAGACATAAATACAGAAATACAGAAATAAATACAGAAATGCAGAAGTGCAGAAGTACAGAAATACAGAGATACAAAGATGCAGAAATACAGAAATACAGAAATGCAGAAATGCAAAATCACAGACTGGTTTGGGGTGGGAGGAACCTTAAAGCCCCCTAGTCCCAGGGACAGCTCCCACTACCCCAGGCTGCTCCAAGCCCCGTCCAACCCAGCTTTGGATTCCAAATTCAGACCTCAMTTATTGCTTTAAACATTCCCCAACAAACTGGATTCCAGGGGKGCATTTATTTACCTGTTATCACCGTGGACAGCTGGGATGGGGGCAGCTTCACCCAGCTCTGCTGGGGCTCAGGGTGGGGGTCCCACTGCACCACGAACCCCCCGATGGGCACAGGGGGTCCCTCGGGGGGGCTCCARCTCACCAGGATGCTGCAGTTCCCCAGGGCCACGGCAGAAACTCGCTGAGGAGGGGGCAAATCTTAAAGGAGACAATAAAAACCACTGTCAGCACAAAGATATCGCAGCCTCGAGTGAAAAAATGAACTCTGGTTTGTGGGTTTGCATGGGTCTGATCCGCTCTGGCACCGGGGGAAGGATAAACGTGGGTTATAATTAAAGGGAAGGTGTTAATGAGAGGGGAGGGTTGTGCTGGGGAACAGTCCCGTTCTTGGCTTCTCTGCTGGGTTGGACACGGCTYGGCTGTGCCATCCCAAACCCTACAGAGGCTGTCAGGGCACATCCCCACCCTGCTGCAGCCATGGGAACCGTGTGGGTTCAGAGGAGGAACGGGGATGATCCCAGGGCTGGAG